TGCCAAGTAATGTTGAACCAAGTCGGTGCAACAGTGTTCCCAAATGCGCACTTTGCTGATAAACTGAGCGCACGGCGCTTTGGTGACTTTGAAGCACAAAAAGAGAATTTACAGTTGAAACTGCACCTGTGCAGATTCAGATGGAGCTACATTCTAATGGGACACTCGAGGGAAAGTACGACCCGCCGGGTTTATTAGTTCCATTCCTGAAGCAATGCTCAGCTCCGTCTACATGCGGCTCGAACCTTGTGTATGTTTTCATTTATTTTTTTCTGGTTTTGGCAGCATGTTCATATTTCTAGCTTGCATAATTTTGACAGGATATATTTTTATAAAAATATTTAAAGTTAAAGTTTATTTTTTTAAGTTTATTCTGGAATTGTATACCTGTCTGTTTTTATTCATATTTATGTTTAAAAAACACTGTTTTAGTGTGTTCAATAAATGTTTATCTTGTCTGGCGACCTAAAGTGTGCCTTGAGGTTTGGCCCCCTGTGCAATTGAGTTTGACACCCCTGGTGTAGAGTATGTTCAGCTTCCCTTTTTAATAATAAGCTTCTGTATAAATTTAAAAACAAGTGCTTTTGATTACTGTGATATTAACTTCTACAATACATTTTTTTATTTAAATAATGCAATAATATTGTCATTGAGAACAACACTCCAGACTGCCTGCCATATTATATTCACCGGGTGTTTTTTGTTTTTGGTCGTTTTCAGGATGTGAGTGACAGGATAGAAAAGGAACCGCTGGACGGACCAATTGTGAGACAGCTGGAGAGAGGGGGGAGGACTGTTGTCAAGGGTGACTGGAGAGAGCACATCACAGTGCCACTGCAGACCGGTATGAGACTGACTGTGCACAAACTCCTGGAGCCTCTTTTTGTAAAACGTTCTTCTTGTTTGTTGTGTGAAATTAGACTTGACAGTATTACACGTTACACAGTGACACTTGTACCAGTTCATCTTACAACTTGTTTAAGTGCCTCACTGTATGTTCAGTTGCATGCAGCATCCTGCTGCCAGAAAACATTTGAGCATGTGGTTAATTAAGCATGCTACTTCCTGTCAACAGCGCCATTTGACCCAGTATCACAACAACAGATTCTCCATGGACTCTGCGCTCATTTTTATTGACTTATAAAAGATTTGGAACAGATATTAATGATTAATCCAGAGATGATGTAGATAACAAAGGATTCACATTTAATAAAGATGAAATGGTACACATACCTTTCTACATGTTTTTAAATACAAGAGACACTTGGAACCATGCTCAGTTCAAGCTACAGCTTCACTAGTTTCAGGACTTCCTTTGTACTGATTCTGTGTTTAGAATTCATTTTTATGATCGATGCCTGAGCTCTGAGTTTTCCTTGTGTGGCAGATCTGAGGAAGTTTCGCTCCTATAAGGGCGGGTCAGTCAGAGACCTGCTGCGTGCAATGAGAAACAAGGTAAGAGTTTTTCCTTTATAACAAACAGCTTTGTGCTAAAGTGAGCCTGTTTTGCCACCGTCACATTCATGGCTGACCTTACTTCAACAGAAACACCATTATCGAGAGTTACCCACTGAGGTCCAGGAGACTCTGGGCTCCATCCCCGATGACTTTGTCTCCTATTTCACCTCCCGCTTTCCCCACCTACTGATGCACACCTACTTGGCCATGCGGACCTGCGCGCCTGAGAGACCATTCCTGCCTTACTACTGCTCTGCAGAACAGCTTGCTAAGACACAGGCCCAGTTAGCTCACCATGGGCCGCAAAGACATAATGAGCCATGCACTCAACACCTGCCAACACACACATCCACAGCTTCCTCACCACCCCAGGAGTCTACACATTTGTCACTGCCGGAGCAGGTGTGTCACACAGCAGCTGCTGAATCAGTGCCCTCATCAGCACCGGAGCCCATATTGTCACATATCCCGGTTCAGACAGTGCAGCCGGCAGAGCCAGCACCGTCCACACAGACTGACTCACACAGTCAGACCTCAGAATCAACTCTCAGGCAAAGAGAATCCAATCAGCCTGAGGTGACCCCACTGACAAATCCTCCTATACTGGACAACAAACCAGTGTGAACTAGACTAGAGCCAGGTGGATCCAGCTCAGATGGGAGCATTGCCTTAAAGTGTGAGGGAGACAAAAGGAAAGGTTGGACTCCTGGTTGTGGCTGTGCTGTGAGTCGGTGAGGACCAGGCCTGCAGTGCCTGGGATTCACCACCAGACGCGGCCGCTGCATCCTGCATTAAGTGCCTTCTGCTAACCTGCATTAAAATGATCCCCAGCACGAGACTGTCCACGAGCCACCCTGAGAAATCCAGCAGGTGTTGGATGTTCTATTGTAGCCAAACTGAGTGAAGAAAGCTTTTAATTTTATTACGGCATGTCCAAAAAGGTGTATCTGGTCTCCAGTGTGGGGAAACGGGTCCAGATGTTGTTGAACACTTGGGTAGTTTTATTGTGCAATGTTGTGTACGTCTTGGTGAGCCTGTTCTCTGCACAGATACTGTATGTATATTTTTGTACAGACCAGTTCAGAATTTGGATCATTGATGATAAATCACTTGATGTGGCCGTTGTGCCTTTTTTTTCCCCTTTTCCCCCTTTTTAATATCACTGTGCTGTATGTGTACAGATGTTTTAAAATTGACTATGCTAAATGTGCTTGATTCCAGTTAATGCTGCTGCTAGACTGCTTCTCTTTTGTCAATCAAGACTATTGAGCTGACTCATTAAGAGTGGGCTCCTCCAAAGGGTGTTCAGAGTGACGTCTGGATACAGTGGGGTTTTTGTAATCCTCCTCTTTATAGAGTCAAATTAGGAGTTTGGAAGTCAGGCTGCAAAATGCTTGTGTAATAACTTTTTCAGGGGTGTCAAAGTGAAGTTAATGACTTGCACATTAAATTCTATTGTTTTTATACTGATATTTTGTGTGTTTTGAGTGTGCTGCATGCCACAGTTTTGTAAGGTCTGTCATATTTGTCTACAAACTGTAAGTTTAACAGTTTCACCTGCTGTTGCTTCAGGCAGCTGGTGTTGTCTGACTTAGCAACAGAAACTATTAACTCTGAACCTCCTTTGGCATTATTATCAGCACAAAAACTGTGCGCCAGGAACTTAATGGCATGAGTTTCCATGACTAGCAATAACATGTAGATGCTCCACGACCTTTGTCCATAGTGTATCTCAAAGGTTGGAAACAAAAGCCAGAAGTACCTGATGTTACCTTTCTAAGATGCTTCATGTAGTGTTCAGGGTATGAATGATTTGATGGCCTTAAAGTACAGAAGATGTAAATATTATTTTGGGTTGCTGTGCTTATACTACTACCACTGGAAAGGTTCACCTGATTTTGCCTAATTTCTGAATTAACCATCAGAAATAACACAAGACAAACCTGCAGGTATGACAAAGATGTGGGGCCTGCACTACTTTTATGATCCTTTAATGTGTAATCATAGACATAGAATCTACCATCAACAAAGGTACAAAGAATTAACTCAAATAGTGAGCTGTCAGTAATTTTCATTAATAGCAAATGGTTGATTTTACCTAATTCAGTGAATCCTGAGTTTAAAAAAAACAACAACAACATCAAATCATGTACACCTTTTAGCTTTCTGAGCTTTCAGTGTCAGCATTGTACTCATAAAGACCTTCAACATCAACATAATTCAAAATGATCAATTTCCAGTAATGGAATACAATCCCTCTCACAATGTCTAATAAAAATAAAATTTGTTTCCTGGAGCCTGGAGGTTTTTCGAGACCCAAGTAGTTCAACTGCTTCCTTTGGCAGGTCCAAATCTAATTTTGGATCAAGTCATTAAATTCTGGCTGAGTGAATAACTGGGGAGCAGATGAGCTACTGGATTTGGATGTGTAGTGAAGTATCCACAGTCGAAGGAAATTATATCTGGATCATGTTTGCAATTGCCACTTCTGAAAAAAAAAAAAAAAAGTGATAATGGAGCAAAACTTATAAAATATTTTTTGAAGCCACCAACACAAAATTAGTAAAGACAAGGTGTTGGATTTCATGCTGTAAATATGATGCAGGGCAGTGTTATTTATAGCAGCTGCCCTGTAAACACATTCTTGCACATATGCAGTGGATATTCACCCTGGTTACTTATGAAAACAACTTGGTCTCTTTGCAAAGCATAAAATACACAAATCCTGTTTATTGTAATGATGTGGATATTATTACTAGGCTTTAGTAATAACCCAGTTTTTTGTTTGTTTTTTTAACACGTTTAAGGTAATTTGCTAGTGTATAGTTTTTAATGTTTAACTGACATGAGCTGTTTTGGTTACTTTTCTCAGGCTGCTGGTGACAGACAGCCTCTCCTTGGTTGAAGCTAAGGTGTGGCTTAAATAGTTTACTTATTATGGTGACATTATTTGTACTGCTCAGGTCAAATCAATCCAATGTCACTTCTTTTAGCTTTTTGTGTTCTAAGTTTTAATGTTGACAGTGGTTTGGCCACAACTTACGGCTGGGCTAAAGCAATAAAACAAGAAGCATATTTGTCATTGAAAGAGGAAATGTTAATTTATCACACATCCATAACCTTACATATGATTAAGGTGATCAGAGTTCATAACAAATATTGGTAAGTTTGAATTTTCCTTTTCTTAAAAGTTTCAAAAGCTCTGTTTTGTGCTCAGATGCTCACTCATCCCGGTTTTTACAGCATAGTACAAAGACGGGACACAAAAACATACCATACTGTTTCCAATATGGTAGGCTTCAACACTACTTAGATCTATCCTATTATACAATGTTAACACATTTTGGTACTTATTTTGTCTGAATCTTTAAAAAGCCTTTTCAAAATACCTTTATTTCAAAAATTAAAACGCAAACAGCTTTTTTCTTTTTAACAATCACGTGACGCTCATTATGCTGTGGGCTTTCCGGTGCAGGGGTGCAGCTCTGCGGGCTTGTTTCTCCAAAAACGAAACTTGAAACTGATCGAGGATACCGTGTGCAGCATAGCAGGAAACGACACATAACATATCGGGCTTGAAACACAGGCGGCACTTTGTATGCCTGCAGGGACTGTTTTCCGTCGGTATTTCTCCAAGGTAAGATAACTGCCTTGCCATATCTTATAGATCTAATAGTTTTTTTTGTCTCACTTGTAGGTTGAAATCACGGCTTCTTATAAAAGTTTTTAGTGATTCTTATTGTAAGAGTTAGCCTACGTGTTTGAGTCACAGATTAGAAGCACATGAAAAATATTTGCTTTATTAGGTGTTGTCTCAGACACTTTACAGTTAACAGCAGCTGTCGAGAAAAACGGTGACAGAATGTTTTTTTTCACATGACTCCTGAAAAATGCCTTATTACAAACACGAGCGCTGTTTCTCAACATTAATCAAACGAAATAAATGAATAACGCTACACCATTCATTCAAAGTGTAAGAAATGTGGCAGCTATATTGAAACGCTTGCTGGCCCTTATTTGGACAGTTATAACAAAATTACCTTTAATTTTACTTTTCACCATAAAAAGTGCATTTGTACAGTTAGCAGTCAAATCTGAAACCGCTTCTGAGTTTCCCCCAAAATCAGGTTTATACCCCGCCACCCACTACTTTTTTCTTTATATGCTGGGCGCAATACTTCTATAATCAACCTTGTCCTTGAGTGATTTAGATTTAAGTGTGCCTCTGGAAATACATTGCCTCGACATGCCTGACATGTGATTTCAAAGGGGCCGGGCTATATAGTGATGGGATTTCCGGATCTTTTTAGAGAATCGGCTCTTTCGGTTCGACTCACTAAAAAGAGCCGGCTTTTTCGGCTCCGAACCAGCTCTTCAGGTTGTTTTGTTGCTTTAATTTATTTATTATTAACAATAATATAAAATTATGCACAAAAGGAATTACTAACGTAAAAAACAGTGGTTTTATTTACATATGTTTATATATAAATATATGCAGTGGCCCCTAGAGACAAAACACGTACAAACTCCAAAACATATTTCTAGCATGAACTGAACTTCCAAACCAGAGCTACTAGATCACTTAAATTACACAATTGAAAGCATGTGTGTATTGTTTGTGTATTTATACACAGGCACTCATGTATATTCAAATAAATTTTAAAAAAAAAAGTTAATTTACCTGTTACTACCACACACCAAATCCGGTCATTGGTACTTGCTGGATTGTGTAGCCACTAGGTAACAAAAGCTTAACACTGCGCCCAGCATCCTGGAGCACTTCTGTTGTCTTTTGTACGTGTTTTGAGTTTGTACGTGTTTTTACGTGCTTCGGAGTTTCTATGTGCTTTGTCTCTAGGCGCCACCGTAAATATACTTTTATTTATTCACTCCACATAAAATGTAATAAATAAATCATATAATACAAAAATCAACTATTCACATGTCAAATTTTAACTATTTAAATTTTCAGCCCTTTCCTTTTACAAAATTAAAGTGAAACAACACAAAACACTGCAAACCACAACACAATTAAATATAAATTAAAATATGAAAACAAAAAGAACATGCATATTCTCTGTCATATAGGCCCGCATGAATAAACTTTCTGAATCCTTTATCATCTGCAACTGAAAAATAGTTGTGGATGATTACTATCCGGTTGTTCAGTGATGACGCGACGAATCCTACTTCCGGGTCTAAAGTAGTCTGCGTTTAATATGGCTTTTATGTTGTTAACATGTTTAATGCTATGTATTTTCTTCTATTTGATCTCAAAAAGCTCCTAAAACAGTCAGTGATCCCTGTTGACCTCCCTCGGCTTTTATTACCGCTAATCATTTATTTAAGCTCAGTTTTTAAAACCTTAGGATGTAACTACAGCCCAGCCCATGCAGCAGTATATGAATGACTAACTTTGTATTGTAGATGAATTATCTCAGTTGTTCTCCTGGCTGAAGTTTGGTCCTTTTACAGCATCCTGCCATGCGATTACATTTGTTTCTGACCACCGAGAACACTCACGTTAACTTTTATCGAGTGGAAAAAAAGTTAGCTTGTTTATATTATGCTAACATAGCTATGTCGCTAGCGGTCACGTAGCACATCATTATATACCAGCTAGCCAAACTTCAGTAACCCTACAAACGTCACTGCTGTTTAGTTTTCTGTCTTCATTTATGCTGGAAGTGATAAGAAAGCTGTATGTTTTAATTTGTTTCCAAAACCCCGCAGTCAGGACATGCTATATTGTATTTAGATAGAAGCTAGCGAGCTAACTCCCTGCTAACTTCTAACTCCGTTAAATGTCATAAATTCCGTTTTCATGGATGCCTGGATGTTAAACTCAATTGTTACACCTGGTAGAGCAGAATGCTGATCATTTTATTAAAGATGAAAGACTTTAGACAGTTTTTCAACTCTCAGTAATGCCACAGTGATCGTTTGATATATGGACCTGCAGCGGAGTTTAGACCCAGACACGGCTAGTGACGTCAGACTGAACAATCGGATACCTTTCTAATGTGACGTTGTTGCCCCTGGCTCTCTTTCTCTCTCTCTCTCCCTCTGGCTCTGTTCCTGTGCTACTTGAGTGTAACTACCGCCCCTCCCCCCTCTGCCCAGCGTAAAGCACAAGGCTCACATGCAGAGTGAAGTGAAAAAAGTGCGAGAGAGGCTGAGAGAAAGAGAGAAAAAAAAAAAATCACGTGACGGCTCGCGATAAGGAGCCGGCTTGCGTCGTTCACGTCAAAGAGCCGGCTCTAAGAGCCATTTCGTTCGCGAACGACCCATCACTAGGGCTATAGAAGGGGGTCCAATTACAATAGCGAAGATTGGACTTTAAAGTGATTTCTAGCATTTGTTACACTACTGTCAGTAAAATATATAACAAAAGAAGTGCCATGCCTGAGGTGATATCTAAAAGTATCAGCTAAACATCCAGGAAGCAAATCTCCTTTTCCACCACATCGCACAGGTGCTCTGTGGATTGAGGTCTCTGGATTGAGCTCTCGTGACTGGAAGCCATTTGTGTACAATGAACTCACTGTCATGTTCAAGAAACCAATTCAATTCAATTTTATTAAATTTTATTTATATAGTGCCAAATCACAACAAGTCGCCTCAAGGCGCTTTATATTTCACAGTAGATTGTACAATAATACATACAGACAAAAAGCCAGCAATCATATGACCCCCTATGAGCAAGCACTTTTGTGACAGTGGGAAGGAAAAACTCCCTTTTAACAGGAAGAAACCTCCAGCAGAACCAGGCTCAGGGAGGGGCGGCCATCTGCTGCGACCGGTTGGGACGAGGGAAGGAAAACAGGATGAAGGACATGCTGTCGATTTTTGGGATTATTTGAGCTTTGTGATAGTACGAGCCCACTGGACTGTTGTGATTTCATATAAACTTTCTTTTGTAACCAGAAGAGGTTTGGTTAAAACAGTGATTCTGGGACAATATACGTTTTAGTTTTGTTTTAAACGCTCTTGCATCAAAAATATTTGCTTTAATAATGCTACATTTACCAAATGGCAAAATCAAAATGTGCCCAAAGACTTGGTATTAAATCCAGTTCTTTTGGATTCTTTACGGCTAAAAAAGACACAAGGCTCAAAGTGGTCTTTTAGTCAAAAAAAATATCTTTTCATACCCGGGATATGGAGACCTGAATACAAAACACACAACCCCAGGTCTGAAGCACAAACAGAAGCCTAGGTATTTATATACTTGCTCTCTACGTCACACCACTATAAGTTTCGATCAAAGACTCTGCTTAGTTTCACTTTCTGGCTGCAAAAGCATGCAGTTTCCCGTCAGTACTTTTTGGCACAGACTGTACTCAGAGTTAGGCCTCTCTTATATTAAAACAATATAATCAGCAAATACACATTCAGATTATATATTCAAACCCCAACATTGGCTATTTTTTTTTTTTTTGGCATTAAAATCTTATAAAATAGTGTTCACAGTGAGGGATGAACTGTGAGACAGCAAGTGTTACAGCCGCTCGGCAGAACGGATTTACATCATTTTGTTATTAAGAGCAAAGCAATAACTACAAAATCAGACTGGGCAAGGAACTTGTGGTGGTTGATCTTCAATTGGTGAAGTTCGGGGCTACAAGAAACTTTCTTTAATGAGCAGCTGTCTAATTAGGCAAAGCCTGCACCCCACTTCCACCAGGCGCACCTTGATCTTCCAGCCTCTGTCCTCTGCCTCAGCTGCCAAGTTGGCATACCGCAGTTTCTTATGCTCAAACGTAAGAAGCTGCTAGTTTTATTACAGACATGGCAGGACCTCCCAAAATCCCGAAAGGTTGTGTCTTATCAGTCCACAAAATATTTTTCCAAAAGTCTCTGGGATCATCAAGATATTTTTAAACAAATGTGGTTTTCTCCTTGGAGCTCTCCCATTGCCAATTTTACAAATTCTTTCTTATTGTTGAATTGTTGAGTTGTCAGCTTTTTCCTTAGATTGTGGCATGATATGTTGCTTTTTGAGATCTTTTAACCTACTTCACTTGAAATTATTTAGGACTTCATGTCATTGTGTGATTTATTTGCAGATAAAAGGTGATAAGTAAAACGCAGTGCTAATAATGTGACAAAAGGAGGAAGAAAATCATGGGTAAGTAAATTTTGTTTCTATGAGATGCCTTTTTTTTTTTTTTTGCATTTATGGAACTTTCAAGTATTTCTTCTCCGATTCCAAAGTGTTAAGCATTCCATCTTAATCCGGTCGTTAAGTGATGACGTGACGAATCCTACTTCCGGGCCTAAAGTAGTCTGCGTTTAATATGGCTTTTGTGTTGTTAACATGTTTAATGCTTTGTATTTTCTTCTATTTAATCTCAAAAAGCTCCTAAAACAGTCAGTGATCACTGTTGACCTCCCTCGGCTTTTATTACCGCTAATTATTTATTTAAGCTCAGTTTTTAAAACCTTAGGATGTAACTACAGCCCAGCTCATGCAGCAGTATATGAATGACTAACCTCGTATTGTGGATGGATTATCTCAGTTGTTCTACTGGCTGAAGTTTGGTCCTTTTACAGCATCCTGCCATGCGATTACATTTGTTCCTGACCACCGATAACACTCACGTTAACTTTTATCGAGTGGAAAAAAAGTTAGCTTGTTTATATTATGCTAACATAACTGTGTCGCTAGCGGTCACGTAGCACATAATTATATACCAGCTAGCCCAACTTCAGTAACCCTACAAACGTCACTGCTGTTTAGTTTTCTGTCTTCATTTATGTTGGAAGTGATAACAGAGCTGTACGTTTTAATTTGTTTCCAAAACCCCGCAGTCAGGACATGCTATATTGTATTTAGATAGAAGATAGAGAGCTAACTTCCTGCTAACTTCTAACTCCGTTAAATGTCATAAATTCCGTTTTCATGGATGCCTGGATGTTAAACTCAATTGTTACACCTGGTAGAGCAGAACGCTGATCATTTTATTAAAGATGAAAGACTTTAGACAGTTTTTCAACTCTCAGTAATGCCATAGTGATCGTTTGATATATGGACCTGCAGCGGAGTTTAGGCCCAGACACGGCTAGTGACGTCAGACTTAACGACCGGATAGACTTTATCAACAGAACAAAAAAAGATATGTACACACAGATAAAAAAAACCCAATAAGTCATATTTAGTAGTTAAACTTTCACAGGTTTCATAGATGAACCATCAGTAGCATCCTTTAGTATATTTTTTGATTATACAGACCATAATGCTACTGTTTTGGTTTATCCTTGCTGTTCTTTTCCCTGTTATCTCCTTGCTGCAGGCTGCTGTTTGCAGGTGTATGTATAACTTGTACATGTCTTTCTTGTGTAAATGTAAATTTGTCTGTGATTGTGTAAATACTTATGCTATTGTGTGCTTCACACATGGAGAAAAGACAAACTGCTTTTCATTGTTCTTGTAACAGTGACAATAAAAGCTATTCTATTCTATTGTTTTGACCAAAAAAAAAAAAAAAAAGCTTCAATAAGTTTAAAATTAAGAAGCAAACTATTATATTGTCAGTATTTCGCTTAAAGATGGAATTTCTGTCAATTGTCACACATCTCATATTTTTTTAACTAATTTTATTAATGCATAATCAAATACATGCTTTTTTGTGCTCTCACAGCTAAAATACCTCAACAGTTACCAAGTGCTTCTGGGTGGACTGAATCTGAAGTAAGCACCTGGCTAAGATCAATTCGAATAAAGGAACATTACATAGAAAAACTCTATGAAGAAGAAGTAGATGGACAAATCCTACTTGCACTGGATGAGGACTTTCTAAAAACAAAAATCTGCATGAAGTCAGGGCCTGCTCATTTGATTATTCAGAAAAGAGATGAGCTTATCAACTCCCAGCAAAAATGTCAAGAAAAGAAAAAAACTACTGGTTCCAAAAGAACTGAGTTTGAGGAAAAGAAAAGTAAGAAATCAGTTCAGTGTCTTCAAACAGTAAGTGATGGTTCTCCAGCACAAACTACACTGAGCGATCAGGAGAAAGAAACTGCTCAGGAACAATGTGTGTTGATTTCAAAGGAAGACTGCCAACCACGGCCATTCGATCAAGAAGGGACTAATTTCTTATATGTAAAACACAGCATCCTGCAGCCTGAATCAGGTGCTTTTAATCTGATATCGCCATGCCACGAATTTAAGTCTTTTGCTGTAGCTGCTACATTGGATCGCACAAGACTCCAAGCTAAGTTTGCCAAAGAGATTCTTAAATTTGCAACTGGTTGTATGAACATCAGGTCAAATGGTACAATACACTTTGGTGTGATGGACAGCAAGGAGGATGGAGGATATGTGCATGGCGAGATAACTGGTATCCCTGTAACAGAGAAGGATATTTATGTCGATGCTTTGGACCACATTGAAAAGAGTTTCTCCTCTAACACAGAACACATACGCCAGTGTGTGCGACCGCCAAGGTTCATTGAGGTTATAGATCGACAAAGTACAGAAAAGCGATATGTGGTAGAGGTTGACATTGTGCCATTAATAAGTATTGTCAAGAGCAAAGTGTATGCAGTCCGTCTGCCAAATTTCAAAGAATCAGCAAACAAAGTAGAGTATGAGAAAGAGATGATTTTGCGAAGAGTGGGTTCAAAAACTGAGCCAGTGAGTGACAAGAACCTAAGTGACTTTTACCAAAGAGTCAAAGATCGCGATGCTCAAAGAGAAGAAGCAGAAAAAAATCATTTCCTTATTGCTCCAGAAATGTGTCAAGACCTTGGAAGGAAACTCACCATGCTGATGACCAGTGGTAAGAAATTCATTGAAAAGGAAAAATGGTTCATACTCGTAACAAACAAATTCAAACCTGATGACCTTTGTAACATTGACTGGCTGATTAACATGAATATTTTCTGCGTGTTCGACTTTGACCCAGACTCAAAGATATCAGGTCTTTGCAGTAGATACCTTAACGACCGTGTTGCAAATATGCATTCTCTGTCCGCTGGCACAAACATCAAAGAATTAACAAGTAAGATGGTTTTGTTCGATCAAGTTAGTTGGATCTTTTGCTATGGCCGTACTGACTTCAAAGGAAATGAAGCTCCATGTGATGAAATGACTTGGATCAAGACAAAAATGATTCAACTTAAAAAATCTGTGTCTTTGATCTGTAATCAGATTTTGTCAAAAGGTACATTCCAGGTCATATTCCTATTAACGTCACCAGTTGAGAAACCACTCTTGTACACCTTCTATGAGTTTTTCACAGACATGGAAGGTCATGAAGACATCATCTGCATCTGTGAATCAGAGGAAAACTTCCAGAAATGGCAAAGCTTTGCAGAGGATCCATGTGGGAAAGAAGCTGTAAACAATTCCAGTGTTGTTGGGATGAAAATGAGCCACATTAATGCAACTCTGCAACATATACAACCTGTGAAAACGCATGCCAGTAAACACTTGCCAGTCTTTGTGGGAGGAACATGTGTTCTTAAAACACAAGTAGAGGAACAGATGTACTCACTGGAGATTCTAACGGTCAATCATTGTGATGAAACATGCAAAGAATTCATCAATGAGGAAAAAGAAAACACGGAAGGCCAGTTCTACCATGGTGGGAGAGTGACTTGGTTGCATTTCTGGCTTGCTGAGAACAAATATGCTGGAGAGGTCATTGAAAGAGATGCTTATCACGATACTTCCAAACTTCTCAACAATGCCTTGAAATATAATGCAGACCAGACTCCAGTGAATATCATAAACATCTACCATCACCCAGGAAGTGGTGGAAGCACTGTGGCAAGACAAGTGCTGTGGAACAACAGAAAAAGTCTAAGGTGTGCGGTTGTGAAGCCCTCATATCCAGTTTCTGTTGTTGCACAACATGCAGTTGAACTAAGTGAATATGAAGAAAAGGATCCACAGAGATGTCTTCCTGTGCTGCTCCTCACTGAAGACTCAGACAAAGAATATCTAGATGATCTCAGGAATGAACTAGAGGGTGCCATAAACGAAAGACAAATCCAGTATGGCACCCTGTGTTTCATTTTGTTGAGCTGCAGACGCTCCCATGATCCAGAGAAAAAATGCAAGGAGTCTCCTTTACAGAATGTGTCTGTCACTCATAAACTGTCTGATCAAGAGAAGAGAAAGTTTTCTGAAAAACAAAAGGCACTTAACAAAAAATATGACTTTAACTTCATTCTGACATTTGTTCTAATGAGCAAAGGATTCAGTGAAAATTATGTTCAAAAGTTTGTGAAACATCTGCTCCAAGACATTAACCGTCACTCTGTTGAATGTCGTCTCATTCGTTATGTAGCATTGCTGAACACATATGTTCAAAACTCTTTCATCTCTCAGACTCACTGTGAAGCTTTGCTTGCCTTAAAGTTTGTCTCAGAGAGGTTTCGTCGACATGAGTTTGAGAGATCCCTCAGTGATCAGGCTAAGCTAGTCTTCTTGCACCTTCGAGATGACAAGACGCACATTGAATCAATCAGAATCATCCACCCACTTGTTGCAAAAGAAATTCTTCAACAACTTCTGGAACCCCAACAAACTCAAAGCAGTTTGGCAATGGATTTGCTCCACGAGGATGTGCTCTTTGAGCATAGTTTAGAAACAGATGAGTATCTCACATTTTTGAGACTGCTTTTTATTCGAAGATCCAGAATAACTGAAGAAGACAAATACTTTTTGAGTTTGTTCTCTCCTTTCATTGAGCATGTGCGTGGAACTGAAGAAAGCCCAAATAAAGCGATCGAGTTGCTCAAGGAAGCATTCGAGCGTTTCCATAATGATCCATTCTTTGCACAGCAACTTGCTCGTCTTCATTATACTTATGAAAAATTTGAAGAGGCCAAAAACTGGGCAGAGACAGCAGTGAAACAGAGGCCTGACAACTCCTATATACTCGACACAAAGGGGCAAGTATATAAGAAATGGTTCCAAGCAAAATGTAAAGCAATTGAAAATGTACCAAAGACGGCGCAAAACACAACAGATGCTGTGGAAACTGCACTGAAAGCACTTGAGTGTTTTCAAGAATGTCAGAGAGCAGCTGATGCTGAGATGCAACATGTCAACACTTCAGGGTTTTATGCTGAAATTGAGGTTGGGCTGGGCCTTCTCAAACTGATCTTTTCATTGCAAGTATTTGCAAACAGATCCAATGGTCATTCAGAGTGTATGAAGTACCTAACATCAGATTACATCCCAGTGGAAGTTAAAGATGCTTGGGAACCATTTCATAACCATTTGAAAAAACTGTGCCAGACAATGGAAGACACTTTGGAAAGGATCTCAGAGGACCTGAGTTATTTCCAGACAGACATTGATGCAGATGAAGAAGAGACGCCTGAAGGCCCTGAGGGGAAGATACGTCATCCATTGAAATGGTTGGCAATAAAATCCTCTGAGTATGGCAAGTACTTCAGTGAAGCTTTTTCTGCTGCAGTCCTACAGCATCGGAAATCAATCCCAGCCAACCTCACTCCTTTCCAAAAACGAATGATGATCTATCATCTTGGTGGTGGCAACATAACATCCATTCTCTATAAGATAACTGATCAGAAGAACGCAGTAAAACTTCTAGAGCTCATCCTTTCTCTCTACCCCAGTAATCCATTAAAAGCTAAATTTGATCAAATGGATATTGTTAATTACATAGCGGCCCATATTTCTCTGAACTGTCTGTCACCACAAAATCAAAAAGTAGCTCCTCTGAAAGTTCTACAAGCACTTCGTCACCAGTTTCCATATGATAAAATGAAATGTTTGCCAAATGCCCTGTTCTTGCTTACATTGCTATTCTGGCCAGAGGATGACGACACAGAGCATGAGAGAGAAAAAAAATATCAAATTGTGCAAACAGCTGTTGAGCACCTGGAAAAAGGCCACAGGACCAAGATGAAAGACATTCTTCCATGGAAGAGAAGGATTTACACTCATTTTTTTCTAGGCAATGGGAGTGGGCTGGACAAGTTCGTCCACAAGAATAAGTTTGAAAAAATCAGAGTTGTCTTCAATCACAAAGTTGTCTGAAAAACGCATGAAGTGGTTTAGTGGTGAGGCATTCAAGACTCCAGAGATTGCCGCAATGCTAAAACATGTATCTGGGTGGACTAAAGATGGATTGGTGTATCTTGAAGGTCCCAAGGAAAAAAAGTTCAATATCAGGCCTGTTAATGCACCTTCAGTGCCTCAAAGTAATGAAAACATCACCTTCTACCTGGGGTTCAATTTCAGAGGCCCTGTTGCTTACAACATAGTTGTGACAAAATAGTCAACAACCGCTGCCTGTCAGTGTCAATCCAAGTTACTTTTACTTTTTAGTATTATGGATGTTAAAAAACTATGGATGGTTTTTAAAAAACACACGAGCCTCAGTTTGTGAAAAAAAGAATAAAGCTAAACAGTTGTAGCATGTAATGATTATGTATGCAATTTTAGTGTCACTCAAAAAACATTGCTCAAGTGTCATAAAAATAATTAACCACTGTTTTGTTTAGTTGTAAATGTATTTAATCTGGCCAAGTTATTTATCCAACTACTTTGTATTGTGATTATGTGGGTGTCACATTTTGTTATGCTTCATTAGTCTCATTTTAGGTTGTACTTCTATTAGTGTATATTTGCATTGTTAGTCTATTAATCTCAACTACACTTTGGGGCCAACTTTTTCTTATGGTATGTGCTATTAGAAGGACGGCATAAATTACTCTGAATCTAAAAATTATTAGGAATAACAATGTAAATATAATTATTGTCATGGCTGGGTATATCCTCTCCGGCTAATATGCCTGTGTGTTTGTTACTTGTCTGTATTCCTTGTGTTCTCTTGACCAACTGTACTTGGATTTTATGAGCTGGTTCATATTCAGTGTTGATGCACTACACCGAAAAACAAAATCTACCAGCTACGCTAAAAGTGAAGCATGTATTGCTTGACTACAGTGTGAGCCTTCTTTCAGTTTTAATGCAGCTTTCCATTGATGTTCCATGACAGGAAAGTTGTTTCCAAGTATGAGCCCTTTATGTGTACTTTTCTAGTATATTATTGTGTATTTTCCAGGATAAATAAGGAAGCAGTATAATTAAATGTGAACTATTTAATTTTCTTGCCTATTTGCTTTTTAAATAGATTGGGAACTGATGTAAAAAAGTTTTTTGCAGTCAGAAGAATGACACTGTTGCATAGATGTTAACTTTACTTACAACACGATTCTTTAGGTAAAAGTGCAAAACAGTAATTTAATGTGCATCTTTTTTTTCTTTGAAGATTTTGCATTTTATTCATATACATGACTAAGTAAACATAAGTGTCCTTAAAATATGTATAAAATAAATGAATAAATAAGGTTAAGGACATTTCTGGTGTTGTTTCTTTGTCAAATTGAAATCTCCAGTTCTGCTCAAACTAAAAGAATGGTGACATATGCTTTTTATAGGCAAATGTTTTCAGCTGGGGAAAGGTCTGAGGCTTGTACTGCAAAGCAGGATTTGGTCATATCCAAGTAACTTTAGGTTTAACTCAGGGTTTTCTGTACTGCAAAAGTAGTTCACTTCTTACTAGGGTATATTGCCATGGTAACTTATGATGTGAACTGATTAGAGATCAACAACAAAACTCACTGCTTATCGGCCAATGTGTTCTCCAGAAAATAGTGTCACCATTCTTTGAAAATCCCTTAATTGGATTGCTGTGTGCAGGAACTAGGAATGTGTAAATTCTTTCTTTCCTTGATCATCTGTAACATCAATGGAACTTTATTCCTTGATTTTTTTTCTCCCTGTTGACTGCAAACAATTTTACCGTAATTTTATGGTTCCCTAATTATTAATGATCCTAAAACAGGACAGCTACAATGTACTTGCTGACTTATCAGCAAGTACAGTAAAACATGAGCATAAGCCTAAAATAAACATTAATTAAAGTTTCAAATTATGCAACACAGACTTTTAGCTAGTCTTAGCATTTGATAGCACAGCTAGATGCCATTTTCGTTTGGATCAATGACTGTAGAAAACATGGACGGTGCAACAGCACCTCCTCCCATTGTGCAAAAATGAAACCAAAATATCCCGCTTTTGGAGGCTGCCATCTTGCATTTTTGGAGCTAGAGTCTGCGCAGTAGTGACTTGAGGTCACACTCCCGCCCACACACCCGCTGGACATGACCGCAAACACTCCCCCTTACACTTTTTACTTAAGCCGGCTGCTCCATTT